CATTTTCTTTTCTTCTTTATTTTTGTAGCTGCAACTGTCTTTCTCCGCGAGTCTTGCGTCCCAATTACGCAAGCGGCGTCTTTTTAACGAGCAGCAGAGACGCACACGCCGGGCATCGCAATCCTCAACTTTGGGGGGAGGGGGGGGGGGGGGGGGGGGACATAAGGCAAGAAGTTGCCACGGGATTGTTTTTATGTTGTGTGTGTTTTACGTATAGGTTCGGCTCCGATGCTTGGTTCAGGGGATGAATGAGATGAAATAAAGTCCTTCCCAGGTGTTGTCACTGACAGGACTAGAGCGGCAATGCGGTTGTTCAGTTGTCCCACCCCCACCACGAGCTTGCTTCGCCGCCTCTTGACTCTTAAGCATGCGCGCTTAGCCAAAAGCCCGGCCGGTGCTGGAATTTGGAGGATGCGCCCTTCCGTTCTCATTTGGTCAGTGACTGCAGTAGGCGAAACGGCGTGTTTGTCAGGCCGCTTGAGATCGACTGCTTTCGGAAAAACATAAATTAAAAAATAAAATTCCTTATGTTTTACTTGCCGAACCGACGAGGGACACCTGGTACCTCTCACAGAAGGACTGGGATTAATTTAGGTTAACTGAACATCTTCTGGCGCGCAATCAAACTCTCAGTGGCATGGCGTATTGTGCGCTGTAAGTTTTCATCAAATGACAAAAACCTTCGATGGAGCTGGAAGCCGCCATCTGGGGAGCAGCTAGGTGGCACCAAGGCCTCAAAGCCAGCATACGGCGGCTAATGTATATATATATATATATATATATATATATATATATATATATATATATATATATATATATATATATATATATATTATTGAATGAACTGGTGTCTGATAATTTTGGGCAGCAATGTGAGTAGGGGTGCCGCATCTCGAAGCACTAAAGCAAAAGCCGATGCTGCAAAACCAGGGATCATCCGCTCAATTCAGCTCCCCTGGTCGTTTCTACGTAAATTGGCATTATACCGGCGTGTTGTTTTGTTTTTGCATATAGTTGTTTGATAGTAGTACTACCTCAATACTGGAGCTGAAAGTTATTTAAGTTTTCTGGTAAGCTCCATGTTAACTCTAATTTAAAAAATTTGAGCAAATAGGTGGCGTTAATATGAAGGTCAACCGTGATTATTTCCTAGATGGCTTTCATTCCTTGATTTCTTGCGCCGTGTGTAAGTTGAGTTAGATTTGTGTACGTCCTTAATGACGGCGGCGAGCCAAGCCGTACATTTTTAATAAAAATAAATCGAAGAACCTTAATCTGTACCATTTCCAATTTGTGAATCTTAAAAGCTGTGAACGAATTGATAACGACTGAGCGTATTTAAGTGTAAGCCAAATTAATGTTTATGAGCAAGTAACTTAACTTCAGATACTGAAAATTCCAGTCAAGTATAAATTTCCACAGCTTGTCTGTAGATTTGTAGCATTTAGGTAGTATTCACAATGTAAGGAGTTCCAAAAGAGGTTTTCTGTCTCATATGGTAATGCCCAAGTACTTGTATTCACTGAGGCTCTTGATTGAATATCCAGATAATCTGTAGTTAAAGAAGGAATGTTTTAAAACAAGGTTGATATAGTTCTAAACTTGTCAAGTTTTGCACCAGCTAGCAAATTTAAATAAACTCATTTTCAGTTTAGTCTCGTCGTCATGGGTATTCCCAATGCTATATAATCAACAATCATTAGCAAACAATTTATTTATGACATAGATATCTGAGCATATATCATTAAATATTATCAAAAACGACAGCGGTGAAAGACTAGAATCTTGTGGTAGATCGTACGTAACGTTGCAAATCTTCGAAACACAATCCTCAAAACAAAACAAAATGCTATTAATCTCCAAGGTAAGCTTTTAGCCCATTCAGGATTTGGTCATTTTAGTATTGCGTCATTTTTGTTTGAAACGGTGTTAGACAACGTCAAAAGCCATAGCCAAATATAGAATTATGACATCAACTTGTTTGTTTTGCTTGAGTGAGAAAGCAAAGTCGTGAACAGCGAGAAAATAGTAGAATTGTGATAGAATATCCCTTCCTAAAGACACACTGGTGACGTCTTAGTAATTGATGGTGTCCTAAAAGACTGCTAATCTTTTCTGCAACGATATGTTAGAGCTTTTTTTTTGCAACAGTGGGAGGTTTTTGGAGTCAGATGGGTTGCATCCGACTCCAAAATTGTTCAGAAATTTGGTAAGTCAACATTCTACAGTGATTTATCAAAAATTATACATAGGTGTTTTGCTACACATAAAGATTATTTTCATGAACTAGTTTGGAAGCACATCGAGAATTTTTAATATTTTTCCGTCGAAATCACTTAATAAAATGAGAACACCCGCTTTGAAAATTACAAGAGTTTTTAGGAAGAGTCACTATTGTGCTATAAAAACTACAAAACGTTACTGTTATTGATCGAGAAAACTGAGGCGTGGTATCTGTTAAAACCCCGTTCTATCATACTATTACACAGACTTAAGACATTATCCAAAAAAAAAGTATTTCCCGGAAATACGTTTTGGCAAAATGTGATACGAAAATTTCTCGTGGTATGTCCTTATGAAGTCAAAGGGTGTGGGAGTGGAGTTTCGCGTGTTTGCTTTTTCCTTTGTTATTCCCGAAAAGACCTTTGAAACCAGCGGATAGCTGGTTCGAGTCTGCACTTTTGGCTAATTTCCTTACTCTAGTAATTTTCCTACCGACGTGTATAATTTTTAGAGAAATTCAAGGCTTCGTTTTGTCTGATTTTACGGTCTCCGTAGAAACATAATGACAAATGCAATTATTGACAGTACCTTAAATTCCTCCCAGATTGAATTTGTATTTATGTGATCGACAACTTTTTTTTTCTTTAGCCGCAGCCGTTATTGCAAAGGGATTACAGTTTAAAAAAAAGCAAAAAGAAACATATCTTCATTTGTAGTGCACACTTGGACTTCAGTCAACCTATTCCAGTCTGCAACAGTTGGAACAAATAAAAAATTCGCATACATGTTTGTCCTGGCGCGGTACTCAGATTTTGAACCCGTGGTTAGTTCGCCTAGAAACATAATGTGTGTCTTTTAAATATATTTTACTATTAATACCGGTCTTATTATTGTGTAGAAAAAATTAAAAAAAACTTTAGTCTCAACTTTTTTCGCCAAGTGAAAAGTAGTTCCCAATTCAATTCTTTTTTTCATTTTAGTGCAGCTCTCCCTCCGCCCATACCGATCCAGGACAAACCTAGCAGCTCTGTTTTGAAGTCTTTCGAATTTATCGATCAAAGTTGTTTGCGAAGGGTTCCAGACAGCACAGACATACTCTAAAATCGGTCTACCACAAGTTAAGTACGCGGTTTTCTTTAAATCAGGTTGTGAGCACCTCAAATTCCTTTGGATAAAATTGAGCGCCTTGCCTGCTTTCACGATCACGTCATGAACATAAGCATTCCAAGAACAGTCGGATGAGAGAGTGACACCAAGGTACTTATACGTAGATTCGTTACTTATTGAGATATTTTCTATCCGGTAGTTACTTTCGATTTTTTTTCCTTCTCTTTATAAAACAGAGGTGTACACACTTTTTTAATTTAAATTCATCTGCTACGAGGAGCAACAAGTATTAATACACTCCAAATCTCGTTGCAACAGAGCGGCATCTTGTTCATCCTTAATGTTTCTATACACAACGCAGTCGTCAGCAAGCAACAGTATATACGAACAAGTTCACATAGAAATATCTTTTACATAAATCAAAAACAAAAGTGTACCTAGAACAGAGCTGCCAAATTTTCGCGTAATTACTATACTTGATACTGAAATACTTTAGGCTAGCAGCGTTGCAAAATAGATGAGTTGCCCTTCTACAGCGTCGTGTTCATATCGTCATTTATATATAACAAAAATAGGTCGACCTTCCCCTGTAGGAACTGTGACGACGTCAGAGAGTTAGGCTACTTAGCCAGCGAAACGTATGACACTGAAAGAACTCCGTTTATCTTGGGTGTATATGTTTCAAATGGGGTTTATGTGTTTCAAATGTGGTTCTTGTTTTAAAGACCTTCAATGCTGGTAATTTCTGTGTTTGAGGTTGTTGCTTTGCAAGATTCATCTCCAATCACACACGAAGCATGTGCCTGCGTCTCTTTAAGGCTTAATTGTCCGACACCAATTTTCGACCTCGGACAAACCGAGAACAGCATGTTGACAAAAATGTTCTTCCGTTGCTTGGCAGGTACAGTCTCATGCGTCGTCAGAGGTGATAAAAAATATGCAATTGAAGTATGCGCGAAAAGCATTCCTTGGTTTTTGCCTCACTGCGAGTAGGCACTTACAATGAGCACCGAACAGACTATATTGCATAATTCCATTATGTTCTCACAGCAAAACTTTGAAAGAAATTAACCCACAAAAATCAAATGTTCTGATTCTCCTCTTTGTTTTCCATTAGAATAAATATATTAGTTGCGCGTTCAGTCAGTCCAGCAAAATAAGTATAACTGCACACAAAACCTTGACTGTGATGGTGCGATTTCGCTTGCGATTTTGCTTCCAATTTTACAGCTGTAACTTTCAGCACCGAAGCCCCCCACCACGCTAATTTTCCGCACATAGGACATTATAACTGTGAAATTGCGAGCAAGTAAAGACGGTCCGTGTAAATTAGTCATTAGGGCTGAAACACATGCGAAAAGTCACCCAACGATCTTACGGAAATCAAAACACGATAAGATAGTTCAATACGGTTTCTTTAAAGCCTAGTCGAGCGGGGATTTCTATCGTTCAGCAATCGCAAGTACGAGTTCAAAACATTATTAACGAAGCACGTGCAGTATTTTGTTCTTGAAAATAGCGTGTAACCAAGTTTTTGTGATCGGACTTTCGCTTAAGTTTTGAACTGGTTTTCACACATGCGCTTCAACTTTTTAAAATCACTTTTTATGCGTACTTCTTTCTGGCGCTGACGTTGTTCTTTTTCTGTTCTCCCTTTTGTTTCAGTCGCGATGACGTCGCAACCGACCAATGAATCGGAGCTGCAGTTGTACAGGGTCCTTCAACGAGCCAATCTGCTTTCTTACTACGACACTTTCATTTGTCAAGGTGAGTCAGCCAGCTTCTCTTTGGCCCTCATGTTCCGTGGGGTCGAATGTGACGGCTTCACCAAATACTTTAGTATAGAACTGAGGCATTCCACTCCTCTCATCTGCATTAGGCAGTGCGCCTACAGCACCGAATCTTTCACGAATGGTGCGGAAAGCTCACGTACGAGAGAATGCACATCACGTGCTGTTACCGCTGAGCTTAGTCGCATGACGCCGATGGAGTTCTTCTAAATTCAAAGGAAGAAACTCCGGAGGTGTGGCGCGTCCAGCATTCCAACAACAAAAAATCTGCCCATGACAAACCCATTGCATTTTTGCGGAGTAATGTGCATTTCCCTCCGTACAGTATTTTACATCGCGATGCCGACCTCATTACGGGACTTGTACATTTAGGCTCCAGGCGAACAGACGGCCGACGCCAACAAAACATGTGCAGCTTTGGTTGACCTTTATAGCTTGCTCACCAACACGATCTTTTCTCGAAGATTAAAGCTGCTAAGGTACAAAAAGTTGCTGGCACACCATATTTAATAACCTGTCGAGCACAAATAAAGGTAGCACTATCCAATAGTGCTACACGAGCTCTACTTCGTACGGGCATCCGGTTGCTTTTACTAGGAACTAAAACGAAAACAAAAAACCGAAAACACGCGAAATGTTTTCGATAACTACAACCGGAACAAACCTTTGTTCTGACTTGACAATGGCCAATGCAGGATCCGCAGTCAATTAAACGCTAATCAATCTATTCAAGCATTATGTGGAGTTTCAGAAGTGGTAAAGAGTGCACGGCCACTAAATTGATAGGCCCTGGAACTGAGTGGGCGCACGGGCACCCATAGCTTCGACTTCATCACCACGATAAGTTGTCCCCGACCCAAAAAATAACAACTTATTCGCAATTACCGAAAAGCAGTCATATGCTGTGGTCTTCAACAGCACGATTTGTGTTGTTGAGAAATCTAGCCACGTGATCATGGGCGAATCGTAGTGTCACACTATAAAAAAACTGTGCCCGCTTCCGTTCTGCTTTTTCCAGCGATTTTCTACATGAAAGCCTCGAGCAAATTTAACGAAAGAGAATACATGTTTTGTGCTGGTGTGTTTCGTGTGATTTCGTGCACCTCCGTTTGCTGTTTCACGTTTAAATTTTAATCAGCTGTGTGACCTGTAGTTCCGCCCATAGTAGAAAGACCGTAGACAGCTTTTAATATGATTGCTTAAATTACAACCTGAGACATCAGCAGTTTCAGAAAAAAAATCTATTTATGGTAATCAAATATTATCCTATCAGATTAGAGATATCCTAAACAAACATAGGTGTGTGTATGAAATTACTTCCATGTTTCATTTCAAGAAATATCTAAGGAAATATTTTAATGTTACTAATGTACATTCCTAGTGACTTTTGTTGGTAATCAGTGTGCTTTTTTTATCTGATCTGTAAGCTGAAGAGTATTTAGCTTCGGTAAATAATTTATTTCTCGGCTTGTGTGCTGTGGGCTAACTTTTTATTCTATTTTCTCTCTCGATTTGTGCCCTGCTGTTGGGTGTTGTTCAGGGGTTGGTACCCAGTCACATGATTGCATTTGCCTTTTGTTTCAATTTCCTAAATATTACAAAAAAAATTAAAAATACTTTTTCCGCAATAGTAATTCCAAAAATCTATTTATTAACCGTTCGCCTATCATGTGACGCTTTCTGCGCGTATTCTTTTTTTATTATTATATTAGCCACATAATCATCAAGCAAAAAACAATATTTTTATAAGGATGACCAAGAGCACAGAGCAGATGGTCTTCTCGGAAAAGCGAAACATTAAGAATTGTTTCTGCTATCCACTTCGTTTGACAATTGCGTAACGTCCTTTTGTAAGTAGATAAGAACGCGGAAGAAAAACAAAACAAAAAAGACTGACACTAGAAAGGCAATGTCCTGTTAAAATATTATCGAAACACAAAAAAATAAAGCTTTTTTACTAATTAAACAATATCAAGCTGTTTTTGTTCTACTATTGCTTGGTTTATTAAAAGAAGTTGCTGATCAAAATGTACTTTAAATTTACAGACGACAGATTGATATATCAATCTGTCGTCTTTTAAAATTCATCTAGTGATTCAAAAGCACTTTTTATAGCTAGTGATTTAAATCGAATTAATACGATGAAACTAAAAAAAAAAAACTGGAAAATAAATTACTCAATTTAAAAAAAAAGATCATGATTTTCTTCATTCTGCTTTATTTCGTTTCCATCTCGCACCCATATTCAAATAAGGCACCATTTAATATCTATCTCCAGCCTGTAATAAAAACATACAGTGCAGTATGTTTTTGAACACTTGTTCGAATACAAATTATCTCCATTTTATGTGAGAACATTGTAACTCTTTCAATATCACTGAAGTACCGAGCGAAGAGTGGTTTAGTACGATTCCGCAGTTTGCCCCGAACGATGTTCCATGAAACCCTAGAGTGAGCATATTCGAAGGGGATCTCCCCTCGTTGCAATTATCTTATTCAGAAAGCGTTTGGCATCTGTTAATTCATTTTCGCTTCAGAGTGTCATAGGTCGCCGTCTGTTACTGGTGCGTGTCATTTGGCACAACAGGACGCGAGAGCAAGACCAGAAAGTTTCTATGCTCCCTTTTCTCGCACGCGTCTAGAAGGTGTCAATGACTCAATATATTTTTACTTTTGGCTTATATGTGTTTAGAAGAGCAGTGCAACGAAATTTAGTTGAAATGTTTTCCAGTTTATACAATCACTGTCACTGACGGGTGTGTGTGTGTGTGTGGGGGGGGGGGGGGGGGGGGGGGGGGTGAGGACACGGAAAATAAACCGGTAGATTATTTTGTCAGGGGAATGCTCGTAGGCTACTTGGTATATACATATTGTTCCGCGATTTATAGAGCTATAGTAATTGCAATAATCAATTTAAGACATTTTATCGTTTCGTCTGGCGAGCAGGCAACGCTGCCCAAGTTAGTCACGTCATTGTGCCCATAAACCACGTGATTATGAGCGCTCTCCTATTCTAGGCGCCCCCATGATCGCCCAGGCTCGCCTCGAAACGGTAAGATCAAAACCGCTCACGCAATGCGGCTACTCCAACGCTATACTCGCTCTCGGCCCCGCCCTTAGACCTTCCACCCTGCACGTACCTGCGAGGTTGTCGAGGACGACATCGACTACGGCGAGTTCGTTCGTGACTCGTCGTAGCCTGGAGCAGGTCGCCAGCCGGTCGCAGTCAAAATGACCACAATACGATCAAAACCTCTCACGCAATTAGGCTACTCCAACGCTTTGCTCGCTCTCGCCCCCGGCCCTTTCACCTTCCAACCTGCACGCGCCTGCAAGGTTGTCGAGGAGGACGTCGACCACGGCGAGTTCGTCCGTGACTCGTCGTAGCTAGAGCAGGTCGCCAGGCGGTCGCAGTCAAAACGACCAACCTCTAACATCTCTTTTTAACAATCACTCTCATCGCTGCTGCGATCATTGTCAAAGACTTTGGCGAAGCGAGCGATGCCGCATATGTAATCGGCACGGACCGCTTGCTCGAAATGCGGAAGGTAAACAAGGAAGCTGAAGCTCGAGACGCCAAGAGAGCCAAGTCTGTGAGTGCGTGCAAGGAGACGCAGCACGGAGGGCGGTGACGTCACAAGCCCGCCAGCACAGGTGGCCTTTTTCAAATGAGGTGGATCCGAGGGTCCCGCTTATCAATCGAAATTTATCCGCGAAACCATGGAGTTATTTTTAAACCAAATTTAGCGGGATTATATGAACATATAATTGGACCTAGCAGTACAGTTATCTCATATTTTATTCTTGGCGTGTCTTAAATCCTTAAAGAATTTGACTGCACGGTCGTTGCGATTGTGACATGAATGCAAAGAAGGAGTTAGGGAGCAAGAAACGTGACCATAGAAGGCCACGCCGCACGTTTTATTTTTTTTTTATGCTTTTGGTGATTTGAGCGGGACCCAAATTGATTCTCGTGCAACGCCACTCAGCAAGAAGCTTCATTGTCCCGGAGTAATTTTAAAGAAAACCAATCTGCCTTAAACAGGTCGCTGAATAAACCGGAACGCATGACCGTCTTATGATTTAAAATGGCTAAACTCACGCTAATTAATGCAACGGTTTACAGAAAGAACGGGATTTCATCATGACTCTAGGTAGGACCAGTAGAACTTATGAAGAGATAGTGATCTAAACATGTATTTATTTTTATCGAAGGACCACCCACCTTGGCCTAACTATCCCGAAGCAAGAGAGGTAGGGCGAGGAACTATAGGGGGTTGGGTACGTGATTACGTCAAGATTAGATGAGGTGAAGGGTCCCAGATCTTCTCGTGTAATCCACCAGTGAGTCGAAGATGGCTTTCCTGCGATTTAAAAAGCAAAAATAGGCGAACGCTGCTCTGTCAGCAATTATTATTAACAACTTTTTTCTTCTGTAATATTTATCCGCTGCGCTGCGCTTTTAAATTTCGAATTTGTAATTTTTATATTCAACTGGTTATCAATAAATCATTCAATATATGATTTAGTGTGCCCTAAACAGCTGGTAAGGCCTTAGGTTTGTTACATTTGCACGAACTGAAGAACCAGCGGACTAAGATATTTTCACATTACAAGGTGAACTTCGGTATTACACTTCTTTAAAAACATGCAAGAATAGTGAAAAGGTCCACGAAATGGTTAAATCATTTGTCATACATGGTCTGCATCCGAGTCAACCAAGGACCAGATTCAAAGGTAGTAGAAAGAAGGTTAAAGCAACCCTACATCGGTTTTGTCGCTGGCTAACATGAAATAAGATTCTACTCAAAATCAGAAGGAATTACAGCGCTTTTGTAGTTTATGTGCAAACCCATGTCGCGAACTAGTCGTCTATTCGAAAGAGGCGAAAGGCCAAGTGTATCCAAGAGACGCACGTATTGATATAAAAACTCTCCGTCCGATGTGGCAATCAAAGTTAATTCTTACAAATCGTCG